CTAAACACATGTTCCATGACAAACTTCACACACAAAATTATTGGCATATGATAAACACATTTTCAATTACAAAATCCAATCGTTTGTCATGGAATCAAACTAATTAGGCAATACTAGTTTTACCATGATATCTTAGCCTAGCATTACCAATTTTAATATTCTTTAAAAGTTTAGGTTTAAGTCAGAATGTTATTGAGGTTGATTTTCATTCAGTAACTCTTATTTTTGTAGTAATGGGTATTGTCTAAAATATGATTACCTTGAAATTTTTATATGGTTATTTGAAACGACACGCTCATTAGAAAATTCAAATGAAGACTACATGTGCAGACAATTAGACACGATTTTGAAACAGAAGAATCATGGCAGAGCTCTAATATCACAAGACTGGAATAATTAAAAGTAGTTGGTACTAGCAAAAATACAACTAGATACATTGATAGATGAAAGAATAAAATGGAAACAAATTACATATAGAAAACTACTATACTACAAAGTTGTTGTCCCCTCCAAATTTTCTGTGGAAATGTGATTCCCAATGTGATGGGCCTAGTGGGAGTTGTTTGGGCCATGAGAGCAGATCCCTCATGAACAGCTTGGTCTGGTAACTCTATTAGTTTATGTGAGAATCGGTTGTTTAAAAGAGCCTGGCACCTCCCGTCTTTCTCTCACTTTCTCTCACTCACTATGTAACAACACTGCTCTGCCATCATCTTCCCCCATGAGTAAAACCTTCCTGAGGCCGCACCAGAAGGTAAGCAGATGCCAGCACCATGCAGAAGTGTGAGCAAAACCCCCCCCAAAACACTCTTTTGTTTATAAATTATTCAGCCTTAGGTATTCCTTTATAATAATGCAAAATGGACTCATACAAAAGGTATTATTAATCAAGGAGAAAACAATGATTATTCAGCAGGTAATGTTGGCACATTTATCTAGTCTCTTGAAAAAATTAACCACTTGCCTTACTCCTTAGATCAAAATAATTCCTTAAAAGATGAAATATTAAACATATCAGAAATTTTCAAGATTAAAAAAAAATCTTGAAGTGGGTCAGATTTTCTAAGTAAGAACCAAACTTCAGGAGACATGATAGAGGTGAACGTTTGAATAAACAACAAAAGTATATGAAAGCAAACTTTTCTACATGGCAGAAATGCCGTAAAAAGGCAAAAATCAAATGCCAAAATGGAATTAAAAGGTTCAAAATATTAAATAACATAAAATATGACTTTAACATATAAAAGCATTCCCTTTTCTCCACATCCTTGCCAGCATTTATTGTTTTTTGTTTTATTAATGAGATAGCTATCCTTAATGGAGTTAGGTAGTATCTCAATGTGGTTTTGATTTACATTTCTCTGACGATTAGTGAGGCTGAGCGATTTTCCATGTGCCGGTTAGCTGCTCTTATGTCTTCTTTTGATAAGTGTCTATTCATGTCTTTTACCCACATTTTAATGGGACTGTTTGTTTTTTTCCTTTTGGCGTGTTTAAGTTCCTTGTAGATCCCAGATGTTAGGCCTTTATTAGATATACAGTTGGCAAATATTTTTTCCTGGGTTGTCTCCCTGCTCTGTTGATGCTTTCTTTGGCTTTATGGAAGCTTTTCAGTTTGATGAGGTCCCACTTGTTTATCTTATCTCTTAATGACATGAGCTTTCGGAATTTTGATCAGGAACTGGTTACCTATTCCAATTTCTGAAAAGATGGCTCCTGCATTTTCTAAGATTCTTAAAGTTTAGGAGTTTACATTTAGGTCTTTGATCCATTTGGAGTTGTGGGAATTCAAACTCATTCAACCTCTATGGAAAACAGTGTGGTGATTCCTAAAAGAACTAGAAATTGATCTTCCATACGATCCAGCAATATTTCTAGGAATATACCTGGAGGAACTTAAATTACTCTACAAAAAAGATACCTGCACACACATGTTTATTCTAGCACTATTTACAATAGCAAAAACATGGAACCAACCATGCTGCCCGAAATGGATAAAAAAATATGGTACATATACATGATGGAATATTATGCAGCCATAAAGAAGAACAAAATTGTGGACTTCGTGGCAACTTGTATGGATTTAGAGTCTATACTACTAAGTGATTTATCACAGAAACACAGAACTGAATACCATACGTTCTCACTCATAAGTGGACCCTGAACATTTAACGTATTACTATAAGAAAGAGATTGGCAGTAGCCAGAAACTGCCAGGGGAGAAGGGACACATAACATTACTAAAGGCACCTGATCTCAAACCAGGCAAAGTGGGGAAAAAAGGGAGGCCCAAACTTTACCTGTACGATGACAACTTGTATACCTAATCCTGAATTGTACCCCACATCTTTAAAATAAAATAAATTTTAAAAAACTATGGAAGGGAGGTAGGATTAACGGTAATCAATATCAGTCTGGGGATGGGGGGGCACACCTCATCAACAAGGGTACCTGCACAATGCATATTTGTATACCTAACCCTTAACTGTACCCCAAAATTTTAAAATAAAAAAACATGTTAGAAAAAAAAAGAAATGAGGCTGTGACCCACACATTAATTATGTTTATTTGTCTTGAGTATCTGAAAACAAAAAGGTCACTCCTACTAGATTATTTATCTAAGTTGCTTCCTGAATATAATAATAATGGTATGTAAATAGTACTGTGTTTTTTTCAAATACATTATCTCATTTGATCCTCAAAACAACAGTTAAACACATATCTTTCCCTCAGCTGCACAAATGAGAAACTGAAGCTTTTAAACATGACAATGTATTCAAGATATATTGCTAAATCTGTTTTAAGAACACTACTTGTCTATTGACCCTAATCTCATGTTGCTGATATTTTTCCCCTCTGCCTACTTAAAATAAATATTCATGTCTAAGAAAAAAAAAGAGATTTCAAGAATTTTAAAAATGTAATTTAATGGTGTTTGAAAGCACTATGAAAATGTAATTCACAATGAGTGTATTTAGTTACTTTTTTAGTCTATTTTATTTTTCTTCACAACTGAAGAATATCATTGAATAATGTTGGTGTTCTTTTTACTTGGTATAATGAACATAATTGATTTTTACTGATTTTACTGTTCTGTGAAAACTTGGGGGAGTTTATATGTCTAGGAATTGCTTTCATCTTCATTTTATTTTTGTATTTTTTGACATTTCAACAAAGTGCAAACAGAAAACATTGCTTGGCATGTAACAAATGCTCTATATAATGCAATAAATGTTCCTCTTAAAATGAAAAAAATAAAAAATAAAAATAAATAAAATAAATTTTAAAAATAAATAAATAAAACATATAAAAAGCTTTTGGAAACCAATAAGAATTAACTTGTCAAAAGAAAATTGCACTGAAATGCTAATCCTGATTATTTACTATATTTCAGTAACTATTCTACATTTTATCTAGATATTTTGCATTTATCTATATGTCTGGATCTATATCTATATATACTATATATTTATCTGTCAGTTTCAGTAGATGTTTCAAAAGATTCTCACAGTAATTCTCTAAGATGTGCACTGTTCTTTCTCTACTATTCAATGATGAAACTAAGTCACAAAAAGCAATTTGCTCATCATCATATACAAAATAAACCACATAGTTGGAGTTTTAACCCTGGTATTCTGCCTCCAAAACTAACACCTAAACAGAATTTTTCAATAGACTATTCAAAGAGAGATGTACAAATAGGTTTTATAATTATTTTTAAATTCAAGCCTTACTAACAATATTTTTAACAATGATATTCTAAATAAGCATTTTTCATCTATTAAATTAAGATAGGTAAAAAGTTTAATAATATAACATATTGGCAAGAAAGTGAAGAAGCAGATACTTTGACACATGGTAAATATATAAACTACTACTGCTTGTTTGAGTTATTTTGGAAATATTAGACAAAAAATACATGAGTCCTTTGTCATAGTTTACATATTTTCAATCATTTTTATTAATATACTTGTCCATGATGACAGGGATATTCAACTCAGCATAATCTTTGGTAGTAAAAAATTACAAAAATACAAAGCTCTTTGAGTACAATTTAGTACAGACGTACAATGGGATATCCTGTGTGGTCATTTTGCACGAACAAAAAAGCAAGGTACAGAATGTATAGGTTTGTCTGAAAATAATGACTGTGCATTATTTTCTGTGAGTGTTTGATAGAATAGTTGCCTTTATGAGAACTGTGGTACTGAGGCAAAAATGAAGAGGAAAGACTTACTTTTGCTGTGTATTATTTGTATTCTGTAAAATATTTATAATTTGCATGGATAATAGCTCCCACATACACAGTAACTTTCTCTGAAGCCCTGAAATTGGAGAGCTCTTTTCTCCTTCGGTCATGCTTTTCCTATCCCTTCTACCGAGATCTACCAAGTTTGTGACCCTGAGTTTTGTTCAAACTTGCTCTCAATCCCTGTAGCCAGGGATAAAATTATGTGAAGACATGGATTTCTTAGCTTATCTTCCTGATTATCTGCACATTGCTTCAAAGAGGTTTCTAGACATATCCACAAGCCATTTGATTCCCATCCCCCTTACTTTTTTTCAGAGTCTTTTAAGATTTTTACCTGCTAAGATTCCTGTGTATTTTAGTGAGGAATATAATCCGTCACACCTACCACTTGGGTTCAAATCCTTTCTATTCTCCTGTAGCATCTGAACTTTGAAGGGCATTCACAAAACGGTCTAAAAGTACAAGAGAAGATTGTTCTGATTGCTACTTTAAACTTCATGCATCACTATGTCCACCAAATATGAAGAATGTCCTTCCCTCCATCCTTTCTCTTAACAGATGTCATGAAATGGATATTATGAGATTGTGCTCATGGTCACAAGGTGGCAGTAGCTCCATTCCTCTCATTCCACAAATGCCTGCCATTCTTTCGAAATTAATTTCAAAAGCATGAAAGGACTTGCATTTGATTGACTGAGCAGCCAAAAAAAAAAGCCTCCCTCCTGCATTAGAGAATAAGAACTAAAACACAGAAGCAGCTCCTCTGAGAAGAGAAGGTTTGGAATCATTACAAATTGTCTGCAGACTGAGATATCAGGATGGAGAAAATGTTGGAGTGCGCATTCATAGTCTTGTGGCTTCAGCTTGGCTGTAAGTTAAAGGTTAAGCTATGAAAATCATGGGGAACATTCATCCAAGGCCGAGGAAGAGATGTGCGGTTTTAGCCTCAGCTCACCCAGGCTTCTGTTGGGATTTTTTTTCAAAATTGCTGAACTATAAGCTTTGTATAATTTCTTATTTTGTTTTCCTGGACAGGGTTAAGTGGAGAAGACCAAGTGAGGCAGAGTCCTCCGACTCTGAGACTCCAGGAGGGAGACAGTAGCAGGCTCAACTGCACTTACACTGTCAGCTCTTTTAGAGGGCTACTGTGGTACAGGCAATATCCCAGGAAAGGCCCTGAACTCCTCTTTAGCCTGTATTCAGTTGGGGATGAAAAGCAGGAAGAAAGGCTAAGAGCCATGCTAACAAAGAAGGAAAGCGTTCTGCACATCATGGACCTGAGACCTGAAGACTCAGCCGCCTACCTCTGTGCTGTGGAGACACAGTGCACCCCAAGCACCTGCAACCTGAATTAAAACCCCGAGCTGGCGATCTGGAATAAGGGCAGAGGCATTTCTGCTGTTTTTCCTCCTCAGAGGAGTATTTACTTAGTGCCCAGAACCTCTTCCCTTTGTCCTATGGAGAAGAAGGTCTTGAGAGATAGCCAAAGGGAAGAGATTACTCTTCATTCTGCCCAAGAACCCTAGACAATCTCCTTACATACGTCCATATCTCCATACAAGTCTGCTCTTGATAACAGCCCAGAGCTTCCTTCACATGCAGACAGGACCAATGGTATATGAAGCATCTTCGTTTCCAGTCTTGAACTACTTAGAAAAAAGACTGTACAGGGCTCATACAGTCTGTGTATGTATGTGTCGTCTCATAATCTGACCACGTAATCACATAATAAGTGAATCTTTCCTGTTTTAATGTAGTCTTCCCAAAGCCCACATCTCCACCAGCAACACCTCTACAATTCTCTTTCATAATCAAGTTAATTGAAATAAATATCTACATTCATTTTCTTATTTTCCATTCTTCACCCTCACTTGAATCTGGCCTGTGTTACTGTCATTCCAAGAGAAATTCTCACTCTTATACTAATCGCTTTGGTATTGGTAATGCCATCAGATACTGTTCAGTGCTCATTTCATCTGATATTTTCAACTGTCTCTTTTCCCATTAAAAAATACATTTTATTTTTATCAAAATAATATATATATTTGCAAAATCCAACAGCACTGCCCTTTTGTTCTCATCCTTTCAGACACCCCAGTCAGGCCTCTGCAATGGACCTGCTTTTAATTCTCCGATGAAGGTACTCATATTGATCTCAACATTTTAAAATGATGTATCTTCACTTTTCTTTCTTTCTTTTTTTGAAATCAAGGCACAACACATAATAAAGTGCATCAAACAACTTTATAGCTCAATTAAATTTTACACTTATTTATATCTATGTAACATTATCCAGATCTACCTATAGAAAAATTTCATTACTCCAGAAGAATTCCACATGCCCTTTCCAATTCAACAGCCCTTTTCCCACTCTCACCTTGAGGAAGCACTTTTCTGACTTTCATCTCCTGTTCTTGAACTTCATGTGACTGGAATCACACAGCATGGTACAGTATATATTCTACTTTCTGGTTTTCTACACTCAACATAGCTTCTTTGCAATTCATTAATGTTGCTGTATGCAAACACTATTATTTTTTATTGACATGTAAAGCTCCCATGTATGAATATGCAACAATTTATTTTCCATTCTCCTTGATATAAACATTTGGGCTGTTTGGAAAGTTTTCAGTTTGATGCCGTTATGAAAAGGTTGCTGTAAACATTTATTTAAATATCCTTTGGTGGACATATGAACTCATTATTCTTGGGCAATTCCACTGGAATAAGCTTAATTGGACGATAGACGAGTATATGTTTAGCTTTAGTAGTTCTTGTCAAACATTTTTCCAAAAGGTTGAACTAATTTGTATACTCTCGTGAACAATGTAGGGAGTTCCAGTTACTCCATATCTTTGCCAAAAAATGGTATCATTTTTACTTTTGTTTGTCTTTTAAGTTATGCCATTATGGTGACATACAATACTTTCCCTGAAAAGTATTGAGACTGGGCACCTTTTCCTATACTCATTGTCCATCTGGATATTCTTTTCTGGCTAGAACCTGTTCAAGTCTTTTTCTTATTTTCCTGTTTATTGTCTATGTATAGGTATTCTTTATATATTCTGGCTATGAGTCCTGTCAAAACCATGTATTGTGAATTCTCTAGCAATTCATTGCTTGACTATTCAATTTCATAATGATGTTCTCTGATGTACAGAAATTTCTAGGTTTAAGAAAATCAATTTAGCCTTTTCTTTTTCTTTATTGGTTAGCATGTTTTGTGCTCTGCTGAGAAATAGTTTGCCTACTTCAAGGCATAGGCATACTTTTTTTCATCTAGGTTCATATTCCACATCAAATCAACTTTTTTGATGGTTTACAATAGATGTCAAGGTTCCACTGGCTCTGTGACCATTTAATGAAAAGAGTTTCCCTCTTGCCATTGAATTGCAGTGACATTTTGGTTATAAATCAAATGATCATACATGTGAAGGTCTATTCCTACTCTTTATCTTTTGGTCTGCCTATTAGTTTATCACTTCAGCTATATTATCATGTACTTATTATTATAGTTTTACAGTAGAATTTGAAACGAATCCATATTTTTCCTTTGTTTCCGCTCTTCTCTATATTATTTTATCAGTTCTGTGTCTTTTCTGATTCCCTACAAATATTAGAATCATTTTCAAAATTCTAAATCCTTTTCAAGCCGGGCTCGGTTTCTCAGCCTGTAATCCCGCGCCTTTGGGAGGCTGAGGTGAGTGGATTGCCTCAGCCTGCGGGTTCGAGACCCGCCTGGGCAGGCAAGACCTCATCTCTACAATAAATCAAAAAACCAGCCGGGCGTGGTAGCGCATGCCTGTAATTCCGGCTACTTGGAAGGCTGAGGCGGAAGGATCGCCGGAGCCCGGCAGGTCGAGGCTGAAGCGGCCACTGCACTCCAGTCTGGGCGACAGAGTGACAACTCAAAAATAAATAAATAAATAAATCCTTTTCAATTTCTCCAAAACTTCTGTTGCTATTTTTATTGGTATTACATTAAATCTGTGGATCAATATGGGAAGAATTAATACTTCAAAAATAAGTCATGGTTTCAAAAATATAGATTATTCATTTTTTGAAGTCATCTAATTTTTCTAAATGATGATTTTTGTTCTCAGTGTAGTGATCTTATACATCCTATATCAGAGTTACTCCCATGTATAGAGATTCCATGCAACATAAAAATGTTTAGTTTCTAATAGATGCTAGTGTACAGAAATACAATTGGTTTTTACATACTGACCTTGTACACACTGAACTTGCTAAATTCACTAGTTAATTCTGATCATTTGCTTGTGGATTCTTTTGGGTCTTCTACGTCCACATCACCCCATCTGTCAATGAAAAAAGTTGCATTTCTTTCATTATAACATTTGCATTTTATTTATTTTCCTTGCCTTATTGGCCAGCCTTAGTGATAGGGCTGGTCCTAAAGCCCCATGGTCAGAACTATCTCCCACTTGAGGTCTAATACTCTGTGATCATTCTTAATAATTTTCTCTTTGAATTTGTGTTTTGCAAATGAAGAGTGATGGAGCAATATAGCGTGTGCCAGAGACTTGAAGATTCATCTCATAAGTTCTTCCTCCCTGCCTTCCCTAGAAGAATCCTCTGTTGCCCCTGGTGTTGCTTCACCTAGCTTCTCCTTCTCCATGTTCCTTCGTTACCCTCCATTCCCAGTGAGGACCTGGGCACAGTGTGAGAGAAGTGGGATGAAACAGTCCCAACAGGGTCTGGGGCAGGACAAAGTGGCCGCAGTTCCTGCCTGGCTGGCAGCATCGAGGTCCTTTTGGCAAGCAACTCCCAAGCAGTCCTTTCACCCACTCTTATCTAGGTATGGAGTGTGTCCTGGTGTGGAGTTGTGAAGCCCTTAGAGATCACCAGCCCCCAGGAGGTTGGGGCAACAAAACTGTGAGAAGAGGAGACTGATGTCAGTGACTATATTTTCATTTTGCGTTGGGCCCATCTGTGACTGTATTTTCATTTTGCGTTGGGCCCAGTAAAAATTATGTAGACAGTCCTACATACAGGTTAGGATTGCCTATAAAATGTTGAGTAGGATTTTTATTTTTCCCAACCTCAGGAGTAAAACATTCAATAGCTTATTCTACTCCTAGGAAGATTCCCGAGGAAATTATATATAACATAAAGCAGACAGAAAGGAAAATAGAACTTTTAGCTGAACCAGTACCTGACTGCCTCAGAGGTAAAAAAAGGTGTGTTGAGTGTCAAGGCCTAAATAGAATTTTCTACTTCCTTTTGAATTCAGAAGGAATTAGAATGCAAAGCTTGGAATTCCTATAAGAATGGATGGAAGAGATAGGCTAAGCCTCCAGTTAGGCCAAGAACTGACTTATCTTTCAGGTCAAGTTGAAATACAAAAAGAAAAAGGTAGGCAGTTACAGGGGACTAAATGAGCTTATTTAGACCGGCTTATTATCACAGGGAGGCAGAGACTTAAAAATGCAAGAGATATAAAGTGAGGAAGGGGATTCTGGATTTCTAGCTATTAAATCAGACTAATGATTAATGTCCCACTTATAAGTGGACCCTAGATTGCACACAATCGGCTATCCCCACCTTTTCTTTGTAGGGAGAAAATGAGGAGAAACCTAGAAAGAAGGAAACAGAAGTAGAAGCTTCCTGATTTGGGGAGAAAGATATAAGTATTCTTTTACCCATATCACCTGGTTTTGTTCTATTTAACTCTTTGGGTTTGCAGCCTTACGGCTTGCCCAATGTATTCAGGCAAGACAATTAAAAAAATTACCATGGGATTCCTTCTTTTGCCTTCTCCCATTTTGTTATCACCATCACTATCATCACTATTGAAAACTTACCATATGCCAACTTTATTGTTCAGCACCTTACATACTCACTTAATAATACACATACTAAGATGTATTTATTTTTTATTTTTTATTCATTTTTTTTTTTGAGTTGGAGTCTCACTCTGTCGCCCAGAGTGGAGTGCAGTGGCCACTCCCGACCACCGCAGCCTCGCCTGCTGGGATCCGGCGATCCTTCCGCCTCAGCCTTCAGAGTAGCCAGAATTACAGGCATGTGCTACCATGCCCGGTTGATTTTTTGATTTATTGTAGAGATGAGGTCTCGCCTGCCCAGGTGGGTCTCGAACCCGCGGGCTGAGGCAATCCACTCACCTCAGCCTCCCAAAGGCGCGGGATTACAGGCTGAGCCACTGAGCCCGGCACTAAGAAGTATTTAAACCCATTTCTCAGATAAGGAAATTGAGGCTTAAGTAAGTTTTGAGATGAAAGAATTTCTGGATAAAGTAAGTGCTGCAGGCACCATAAAATCAGACTAGGAAAAAGTTAGCCAACTGAATAGCACTTCTCAAATTTTACTGTAC